GAATTAAAAATAACACTGGACGGAGAAGATTAACAAAGATCGTCGTCGCGACCGATTCTTGGAGTTTTCCTCAGCGAGTCGTCTTCGCAAGCTCGCTTTTCTTATGCTGTCGTACAGAGAGAAAGAGAGAGAGAGAGAGAGAGAGAGAGAGAGAGAGAGAGAGAGAGAGGATGAAGGATCCGTTCTCAGGGGACTCCTGGAGCATAATAAATGTCCATCTATCTGACCATCTCTTATTGCGTATATCTCGGCGATATGGTATAAAGAAATAACACCGGGGAAGAGACCAAAAGAGCGGCAAAAGGGGTAGCAGTGAGTTTGGCGCAAAAAGGAAAAAAAGATGAGGCGCGAGATAAGACGTGGAGCAACGCACGAAGACAGGAGCTTATATGCAGCGCGTGACATAGATTGCGGGAAGAAGGATAAAGGGAGGAAAAGGTCATTGAAAAAGTGACGGCGGGGAAACCTATTTTACGTCAAAGTCGTTCATCCCCTTGAAAGAGGAATTCTCTTTAGAATCGCTGAAAGATAGTCGAGCTCGTAATCATGCGATTTCGTCGCAAAGTCGGCTCTCTCTCGGCTCTGGATCGTTGCGATACATAATTTATGCGAGCTCGCTATTATATCCGTTTTGACGAACACATAACGATATTAAACGAGCGTATTGTATAATCATCGGTCGTACAAAAATCCCTCCCGGAACATTTTCAATCTTTCGTTGCAGAAACGTCGTGTTCGTTGGGTCCTGCTATGACACAATGCATTGTAAAAGAATACAAGCTATGACTCCAAAAATTACAAAAAAAAAAGGAATGTTAATATCTGACCTGTGAGAACCAATCCGTTGTTGTTGGAACATAAAAATTGATTAATCTGTTTCGCGCCTTGCAAAAACACGATTTCAAAGGATACGATACGATATTTCTCTTTGACTTTTCTTTTTTACACACACACTGTAACGCAACGAATAAAGTAAAAATGTAACAGAATAATCTACGAAGACCCATCATTGACGGGGAGAGCTTTCTCTCATAAACTATCCGATGATATTCCAAGAAAAAGAAATAGAGAGAGAGAGAGAGAGAGAGAGGGAGAAGCCAATGTTCTGAAAAGAAAAACTAAGCAATTGTGAAACTGTTCGCTCTTAAGCGAATAAATCGGCACACACTCTGAGTGGAGGTTGGAATAACTCGGCGGCGCGCTCTTTGTCCACGAGTAGTTGTAAAAGCGAACGATGCTTACGGCGGACCGGGGAAAGGTCGGCAGTATCAATAAGGCGCAAGATGGCGAAAGGGCACGGAAGTAGAGAGATAAAAGCGCCGCACTTATTGCTAAATCATGAACGAGCGGAGTAGTGAGGCGACGCGACCGGTCTTTTTACGGCAACGCAAAAAGGTGCGCGGGAGATGGTCACGTAGATCCGGGAGGGGCGCGAGTAAATATAAGGGAAAAATAAGAGGCGGAGAAAGGAGAGAGGCGAGCGGCGGAATAATGAGGAAAAAAGAGGAGACGGGAGGCGATAGTAATCCGGTGCTTTTAAATGCTCGCGTTTGCGAATGAATTAGCAAAGTTAATGAAAATATGGAGTCGCTAGTGCAATAAAAAGAAAAAGAAGAGCAAAGAGAGGGAGAGAGAGGAGCAGTAATTTACTGTATTCCGAGGAGAATGCTTTGCACAACAAGAAAACGATATAATTGGATAAGAGCGGTAGTAAAAGAAAAAAAAAAGGGAAAATTGGCCAGACGCGCTGAGTGAGAAAGAAAAAGGAAAATGTGGAGAAGTTTTATATAAGAGGGGAAAGGATATTCGTCGGTGAGGAAGATATGGTATTAAGGACACTTTAAGAGTAGTCCAGCCTCGTTCAATCTCAATGGGTAGCTTCAAAAATATCGCGGAAAATACAGTAGCTGGACGAAGAGTGAACGCTTTGGGGAGATGCGGGGTAATGTTATATGGCGCTTACGGGCAAAGCGACATTCGAACGTCGTTAACTGCGCCAAAGGAACGCGTAGACGTGCAATAGTGACCGAGGAGAGAAAAAGAGAGAGAGAGAGAGAGCGACAGGAAGCGCAAGAGAATCAGGAAATCATGTAAACGGATCTGGACAAATCTCGGAAAATGCAAGTAAAATGCGAACCGAAACGACAGCGGACGATGATGATGATGCTTGTAAGCTTGTAAAGGGGTACGCGTTCGATCTGCCGGACGAGAGGCCTGTGTTTTTATTGTGGCTGAAAAATCGATGGCTCGCAGCTCTCGCGGCAGATAAGGAAAAAGCGAAAGATAAACGCGACCGGCGAGAGTGGATACGGCAAAAGTAAGACAATAAAGTCTGCAAATGGCAGTAGATAAAAGAAGAGTTCGCGGACTCTCCGCGGAAACTCGGCATAAACACGGCGGTTGTCATATCTTTAGTGTGTCGCATTGTTGTTGTTGTTGTTGTTGTCGCTCGGTCGATAAAGTTGCGTTGAGAATGCCATTTATACTGTGCGTAAGTTGAAAGTCCGGGCAATAAAGTGCCGTTTTAACGGCAAAACTGATGTTACGTTTTATTTAGGCGTTATACTAGATTATGCAGTTACAAACGTCAACATTTTGTTCTCAGTGTATACGTAATAGAAACGAACAAAAGGGAGGTATTAACATTACATCGACATTAATTACGATAATAAAACGAACGCGACGCGAAAGATATACGATATAAGATACGTCGTGCGAAACGAAAGATGATCGCCAACGTATCAAATATAAAAAGAAAAAAACTAAGGCTTCGTTATAACGAAGTAAAAATGGAAATGGCGTTGTTAACGTGAAACGCGAGACGGCAGTCGGAAGTATTGTTAAAATATTAAAATGACGACAAATAAGACGTATAAAAGATATATGAAAGGGCCTTCTCCGACTGAAAAAAGAGCTGTAAGGTAAGAGGAGTTGAGACAAAATAATGCAGAAAGGTGGAAGGGAAGAGTGAGAGGGAGAAAGAGGGAAAGAGAGAGAGAGAGAGAGAGAGAGAAGAAACGACGTGAAAACTGAGGCGAGAGAAGAAGTAGATGGGAACGCGATGAGACTCCGAGTTTCTAAAGAACGAGGCGTTGTTTTATAGAAACGCCTCGCGCACCGAATGGTACTGGCAAAATGGTACGTCGAAAGATCAGTAATACATCACAAAAGTTCATCTTCGCCATTTCTTTTATCGGCATCCACTTCATTATCCGTGTCTTTTTTGCTGTCCTAGTAACGAGAAACTGCCAAAGTTGTTAGGAGCGATCTCCGGTGGCGTTGAATATAAACGATCTCAAGGTCTCGATCCTAACGAGGAAATACGATGAAAAAAGGCAACGCGAATATTCCTCCCTTTTTTATATTTTGCAGTATCACTACAGCCGCGGACTATTCCAAATCGAAAAGTTTGTAGTTAAAATAAAAAAATACAACGATAAACAAGAACGTCCGTAACACGAGTTATGCGCGAATAATAGGAGACTATGGGAGGGAGGGGGGAGCGTGCGCAGAGCAAGGAGTTGTAAGGAAGAATGAGTTGGTGAAAAATAAAATGGCCCGGGCATTTCACGAAGAGCGAGTAGTCATCCCAGTGGAGAGACAGTCTTGACGGTGTTCCGCTTTAAAGATAACGAAGCGAGTTCTTCGCGGAACAAAGCCTGGTAACCGCGGCGGTCGCGGAGTGTTTGCCGAGACTGTCTCCAGCAGTGCGACAGGAGCGACAGGTGGCTCCGTGTGCCCGCTTTTTCATCCCTTCTCACCTCCTTCTCCCTCTCTCTCTCTCCTGCCCTATCTGTCTCTGTCTGGCGTTTCTCCATTCGTCATCCCCTCTCGAGTTCGCCTCCGGGCTCGCTCGCACCGTTGGCACTCGCTCGGGGGTGTGATTTAAAGTGTAAACTTAAATATTCCAGTTGGTACCTTCGTGCAAATAGATTCGATATTAATGGAGCTTCAGCACCTCCCCGAGAGAGAGAGAGAGAGAGAGAGAATGGAGCGGAGGGGGATATTCGCAGATATTCGCCGCGGCAAATCCCAGTGATGACTCTCTCAAGCCATTTCGCCCTGATGTATTTTGTACAACTGATAATAGGATAATAAAACCGCGAGCGCAAACTTCCAGCTTTCCGGGTAAAGGAAAGAGAATTGATATTATAAATGTAACGGCGAATTATAAGTTCAGAAACGGGGAAAACGGTAAAATACGAGTGTTAACCGGGGAAATAATATCGTGGTTGTCGCATCGGGAGTTCGGTCTGAGAAGTCGTGAGTAATCCCCTCGAACGAAACGACGCCTCAAGACGTTTCAATCTGACTCATGCGTCCTCTTTTTCCATTTCCGGGCCGGATTGATTTGTCGGTGGTCGAGTGACGACACGATGACGCTAAGTGTCTCGACTCGAAATAATGATCGATTTGCTCTTATCAAATCGACGGACTTACCTTTTCTCTATATACGTGTGTATGTGCGCGCGCTCACTCGCGCAAAAAGAGAGGAAGATACTTCGAGAGAAATGCGAAGGAGTCGATTAAGATGACTCAATGGACAGCTTCCCTCAGCTTCTCTTCAGTAGCATGATTCGCGAAATTCCTCGCGACTCAGAGGATAAAATGGTATTCCATTTATTTGTAAAAAACTTCGCGTTCAACCGAACCAATTTTGTACGGCTCGTCATCGCTGACCCGGCATTGTCGTATTATGAATAACACTTTATTTAACTATATATCGTTAAAACGTCGAGTGGCGCGCTGATTTCCATCGGTTGATATAAACGTCTGGTAACTAAATCATCGGGAATATAGTAAATAAATATAATTTAGGATACACACATATATATATATATATATATATATATATATATCTCTTACCTGGTTCTCACACATTTGCTTCTATTGGCCACAACTCACCCCCGGGAAATTTCGCCAAATCTACCGTGGGTGAGAATGCGGGGACGGGAGGGAGGGAGGGGTCCGCACAAATGATGAGAATCAATCGTCGTGTATTAGAGAAAAATAAAGGAAGCTTTATTCTTTACATACCATAGCAGGCGATACGACGAGTCGGCCGCGCGACGCCGACGCGAACGGCGTCGACGTGAAGGCGCGCCGACGCAGAGATATAAACGAATATCGGTAGGAAGATCGGGTCAGTGGGGGTTCTCGGGGTACACGTCGGTAAGAAGGGGTCCTCGTCGTGCGCGGGGGGGGTCGTATGATACACACACCGTCTTCCCTCCTCTCTCCTCGTCTCCTCGTCACCTCCGTCCTCGCCGGGTCGTTCAGGTCACGCCAGGATCGCCGCGAGTTTGTGCAGATTCGTCATGGTCGTCGCGTCCCCCGGCTGCAACCTCAATGCCTCCCTGTACGCCGCGGCGGCCTGCTTATACTTGCCGTTCAGGTGTAGGATCGCGCCGAGGTTCGTGTGACTGCGCGCCTCGTGCGGCCTGAGGCTGGCCGCGTGTCGGTACCAGACCTCGGCCTCCTCGCGACGATCGGCCTGCCTCAGCGCTGAGGCCGCCGCGACGGACAGCTCGTAGTCGGAGCGCGACAGCTCGGCCGCTCGCAGCTGCTCTTCCGCGGCCTCCACCAGTCGGCCCTGCGACGTCAGGAACAGCCCTGGGAATTTTACAAGCGAGAAACGTTACAGCGGAACCCTGGCGCCTGACGTCTCGCGTCGCGTGTCCCCGGATAGAAAGAATGGCTAGGTTCAAGTAAATGTTTACTAAGGAGTATCGTTGTGATTTATTTTGTTCGGATTAAGTCAGTGTTACATGAATGGTAACACTTCCTGTGTGCCACGGTTGCAGCTTCGGCGGGATTTTTCGCGATCGAAATTCAAAAAGAATACTTAGTGCCCGATACGAGGATAGGTTGAGAAGTTGATAGAAAGGTAAGATACATTTTTGGGGAAGAAATCAATTTTATTCTTCAACACAGTCTCCTTTCGGGGCTACGCACTTGGTTCGGTTTTTTCCATTTTTTCACTCAGTCCGAAAATGTCTGTAGTAAATAACCTTACGCGGATATTACTGCTGTTATTCCTGTGGTTAAAACCAAAGAAGGCTATAAGTTCAGGTTGAAAATAATTATAAATTTCCCCCCCACTGCGGGCGGATAAATCGTTGAATAGATCGCGAAGGATTCGTCATTATCATCCGTATATTATCTATGCGTTTGAAACGCATTTTCTGAGAGTCGCTTCGTGAACTTTAGGAAGCTTCCGGGAAACAATGTAAAATTGGAGAGTGCATCTGCGCGGAAAAGATATGCTAAATGGATACTTGAGAAAGTTTTCCAGATATTCGCGAGTAGTCTCACCGAAACGCGCAAATCTGTTGCTGATAAGCATTAAAGCAGAAACGCGAGGTACTCACGTCGCATCTTTGAGGAAGAGACACGAGAAAGAGAGAGAGAGAGAGAGAAATCCAATTGTTTCACTTGTTCTTAATTAATCAAATGAGAAGTAAACGTCCAATTTTGCAGGCTACGCCCGTCTCACTCTTAATAAAACAAAGCGGGCACGCCGAACTAATAGTGGGAAAAGGACATGCGACGGGAGGCCGCGAGACGAATTCGCTCGGATAGAACTCTTCGGCGGCGAATTAACCGTCCCGGGACGCCGCCACGTTACCCTGGAATTTCAATACCCGTCGATCTTACCCATCTACCAGCATGGTTCCCCCCCCCCTCCCCCGCACGTCGATTCACCTCTCTGTACCTCCTGGTAGCCGTTCTTCTTTTCGATCAACCTGTCCATCTCCCACCCCCTCCTCCGTCGGATCTACTATCATCTTGCGGGAAATAATACAGTGGTATTTATAGCGGCTCGACGAATCGACGATCCTCTTATCTCCCCCTCCCCCATCCCCCCCATTAAGCGACTCTTCGAATCTTCGTTCTTTGATTTTCTCTTCCTCTCTCTCTCTCTCTCTCTTTCATTGTTCTCGGGTCTCCCTCTCTTTCGCGGCTTCACCATACTCTCCGGCTGGAGGAAACTTCGAAGACTCCTTTTCAGAACGGATTCGGGGATCGGGAATCAATTATACTGTTGTTACAATGGGTCTCGGCGGCGCTGGAGTGGAGAGGTAGGTTCGCCCGGGGGAGAGGGGGGGTGCATTCGGCGGGCGAAAAGACGGGATGCTTAAGAGAGCGTATTTCATTGCTTTAATAATGAACGAGGGGAGAGAGAGGGGGGGGGGAGACGATAGGATCTTTTATCACCACCGGCGACGGTGACTACAAATACAGGCGTTAGATATTTAAATTGCGACGCGGTTCAGGAAGGGTTAACTGCGGGAACCCCCCTATTTGGCGGGACGGAAGGGGGGTTGCTGAACGATGAAAAGATGAAATGGAAGGCGGTAATCGTAGGAGACGTTTACTCCCCGTCGAATCCGATGACGACCGCTTCCGTCGCGGTCGCAATTAAAGGAGTTTTTAGTCGCGGCTTACCGTAATGATGGTGCACGCTGGGGTCATCCGGCGCTAACCTGCGGGCCCTCAGGAACCATCTCTCCGCTTCCAGGACGCGGCTCGACTAAAGAGAGAGAAAGCAGAGGCGACTCGTGAGCGACCACGAACTCTCGATAGTCCTGTCTGTCCCCCCTCCCCCCGTGGCGGTCGCTATCAGTTGAGGGGCTTGTTCTATTACACATTCGACACAATTTCTGGATATATTATTCCCGTCGAGTGTTCCGCCACGCTAAATGTAAATACATTTCCAAGAATAACGTAAAATACATATACGCTCTATGTAAGCGCGTAATATTCCTAGAATATTATATGAATATTATTCAATATTAAAGTGACATTCTTATAATATTCTAAGAATGTTATGTAATATTTTCTAACAGCATAGAAATACTCCATCGATATTATATGTCCACTTCACGCAATATACTTGGCACATTCTACTGGCGAAAATAATTAAAGTACAGGAAGGAAGAGCTGAGCGAAAGTGTTTTTACTATAAATCAATGAATATTCACTGATTATCGGTAAAACATTGCTTTCAATCAGTGACATTTTCACCGATTCCATCGAAGAGAGTAACATGTTCAATACGTATCGTCGCACGACGGCCGGGAATCTCTTTCTCGCAACAGGTTACAGTTACATTAATCTTTCGGGACTGCGTATTATATTTTTGTTTGCAGTTTTGATTCAACACACGGTGTCCACTCGCGGAATCGAGCATCGTAGGAAAAACGATGTTCCCATACGGGAACAAGGAAAATGGATTTATTTTCGATCCTGAATTTTTCGAAAATAAGAGAGAGATAGATAAAAAAAAAAACATATATCTCACAACGGTCTACGCGACGGAACTTTGTCAACCGTTGTTGCTCGCTACGGCGGTGGAGTAATCAATATCTAACGTAAGTTTTTCATCTCGAAGGAAACGCGTCGAGGACAACCGACGCTCGCCCGAGGTTCGCCCGGATATCCACATGCGTGCCGATTTCGCAGCTGTACCGCGTATTCGCGCTAGAAATATTTCAAGTGGTAACGGTCAATATGTAGTCAAACTCGGGAAGTAGATCGCGATATGATGAAACAGCGACGGTGAAGGCGATCTAAAAGCGACGGTTACTTACATTCCGTGCCAAAAGTTTCCCGTAAGTGATGTGGGCCGGCACGTGGTCAGGCTGACTGGCCAAACTTGCCTGGAACCACCTCTCCGCTTCCGCGTACTGTTGCAGCCTCGACAGTGTCTCGCCCAACAGATTGTACACGCTCTGTAAAAATAAAAAAATAGAAAAGGATGAAATGTGTATATGTGTGTGCGTGTGTATATATAACACGCGCGCGTGCGTCGCATTCGGTGTCACCTGACTCTCTCTCTCTCACCGCCAATAAAGAAGTTCGGGAATTTTTGTACTCGGGGTGCTCTTCCGAGTGTGCGCCTCGTTTACTCTCATCTCACAGATTCTTCGACCGGTCGTTCGCGGACTCGGCTCCTCCTCAGCGAAAATTCGATTAAATGCCATCTCCTTTCACTTTACTCTTTAGCATACAACTTTAAAGATCTTCGTAATTAACGTAATTAGATCTCTTTTTGCGAGCGAAGCTCATTTATATTTAAATGAAGGGTGTAGAGAGTTTTGTTATCCATCTCTGCGCGTCCTTTGAACTTTAATTTGGGAAGTTCCTCCCGCTCCCTTTGGATTTTCTTCCTCTTTTATCGGTCGATAATCTGAGTTTTCGCAAATTTAGGCCGCTAATCTGATAGGTGCCTCCCCTCGTGAGATTTAGGGAACCATATATTTAAGACAATTTTGCGTTTTGCGAAATACACATTTAGAGCTTGACTCCCCCTCCCCTCTCTCTCTGTTGCTCTCGCCCCTACTTCACGCTGGTTAAATATGCAAACCCCGGTTGAAGAAGTACGAAGCGCGAGCGACGCGTTCGAAAAAGCCGACAGAGGCGGGAGAGGGACAACAACGTCGTCGTGTTTACGAGAAAATCACGTGTGGATCGAAGCGCCCGGGTTCGTTAGCGTGTCGGTAGAAAATTATGCTAATAAATTCAACAACTAATAAATTTGCCGGGCGAAGACCGCGGGGAAACAGAACCGAGGGCGAGGGGGTGGGGGGAAAAGAGAGAAAGAGAGAGAGAGAGAGAGAGAGCCAACTAATTCGCAAAACGTAACAAATTGCTACGCGATGTACATGGACACGTGTACGTGTTTAATACATTTATAATATAATAACAAGTTCTTAATTAGGTTCTATCTAGAAAATGTAATTGCGAACGGCCTAACACCGCAATTTCCGCGCCGCCGACGTTGTTGCCGTCATCGTCATTGCAGCTGATCTGCCCAATTAATTGTGCGCTTCGACGTGAAGGGTCACGCCCGAATTACAACGTCTTCAAACGTCGACATTCAGTCATTGCGGTAATTAAATATAGAAATAAAGTATCAGTAAGAGAGAATTCCTGCCGAGTCGAAAGAACTGACGACGAGTAGACGCGGAAGACTCTCCGTTATTCCTTCGCAAGGAAACTCTTGAACCTTTGATCCTTTGATAACTTACAGCTCGGGAATTATCGGGTCCCATTATCACCGAAGAAGATTTCACTTCAAAGGGACGTTGTATGTCCCGCTTTGATCTAAAATACCCTGTATATATACGCACAGCGAGCGAGGAGTAACAAAGCGGTCGGGAACGTCACAAGACGGCTAACATCGAAAACCTTCTTTCTAGGCACACATGATGGAGAAAAAGAGAGAGAGAGAGAGAGAGCGCAGCTCTCGCGTCTCGAAGTTATAGGCTGAAACTTTTATGATTTTGTTCGAGGCGAGCCGGCGAGCCGTCGAAGGTGGCCTTTGGGACGAAGTATTTCACGGGCGGGGAGAAGACAAATGGCAGGGTGCGAACGAGAGACGGGAAAAGAACGAGCTCGAATATCCCCGACTCAGTCGTCAAACTCGATTGCCTCGTGATTCAATGGATCTCGCGGTTTTCGCCGTGGCAGTCTGGCGCGTTTTGAAAAGTTCCGTCGCGACGGCCAGGCGAAATAAATGGTTACGTCTATTTTTTATGTTAAATGACGTTAAATACGTGGACGAAAGTTGAGCTTCTTTATTTTTGAAAGTGCGGGCTTAACTTCGCAAAATCACACGTCATAATCACACGAGCTGTTGCACCATGAGATACACTGTCACGAATCGCAGAAAACATTAGTTTACATTACATTGGTAGCTGCGTGAAATAATGATACGTATTATGAACGAAAATGTGTCGAAATAAAATTTTAACCAACACACACACACACCATTTTTTGGCATAATTTTCCTCTCTCTTTCTCTCTCTCTCTCTTCTCACACTCCAACTGCTCCATTTCGGGATATCGCTCACAGATTTTTTTCGTCACCCACCTCAGCGCTTGATTATGCTCGCGACGAGGATTTTGCGTCGCCGCTTTATGCTGTCTTTTTACTTTTTCACAGCAAAAATATGCGCCCCGACCTCTGAATGGGGGAAACATGACGAGTCGCGCGAGACACGGAATGCATCGCGTCGAAGAATGCGCTGGCAAAGTCGCAAAGCGCAACCAGGACCGGCTCGCATTGTTCCGAGTCATTATTCACTCGGACTACTTTTCAAGGATGTTGCGCGTACTTACTTAGGCGTAATGCTCACTCGAGCTCACAGCTCGCAAAGTAAGTCTCTGATAGCCGCGGCTTTTATGCACTCGAGATGGTTTTTTCACGTCTTTCTGCGCCAAGCTGAGAAATAATCGTTAGATCTCGGGTCGCATCCCATTTATCGCGATACCAGAATACATAAGACGGCACAATTGAAATAATCTTGGCATTCAATCCCTGCTTTTAACTTTCACCTTTGAATCTTCAGTTCTGTAGATTGAATTTTAACGCTAACTTCAACAACTTATTTTGACTTGAAACAGCGAATTTTATGTATACACACGCACAACGTGGTATTATTTTTTAAGTACATAAAAAGAGCGGTGTTTCTTTCGTTATATTTACGTCTATTTATGCTATACTTACAATGCACGTAAATAACATCCTCGTTTTTTCGTAATTTAAGCGCATCATAAAAATTAACGATGACATTTACTTATGACAATACGATGACATTTAATTGCAATTTGAATATTTCATCGATATTTCTTTTGAAATGTTAAAACACGTCAACGCTAAATATTATTTACAATCCGTAACGATTATCAATTGAATATATTAGGTCTATAAACCCGCCCACTAGCAATAAATAGCTGTAGCTTTGACAATTGCCAACTGTAATGGCTGAACAAGGCATCATTTTTAGTTTTGACATCATCAACATTGTGATTTCGTTAACATTGATGATAAAAGGCATGATAAAACACATTTACAACTTTTCTCCGGAACATTTTTCACGAAAATGAGCATTTCTCAGAAGACACGCCTACTATGGTCGTTCTGTTACACCATGTGTATACATGTGCATATGTGTATATTTAATTTATTTTAATTAAATCCAACACAGACTTAATTGCGACGGTTTCGACTTTTTGCACGCACTGATTACGGCCCGCTCTGCCAATTATGCATCGTCGCATCGTCTAGCGATGCCTCGGAATTGCTGTAATTATAAAACATCCAGCCGCTACGCGTTCATCGCGTAATTACTCCCGGTGTCCTTCCATCACTCACGTGTTTACAATTTGCGCTCAGCCGACGAGAATTCGGCAATTTCCAACAATCGGCCGAGAATGTCCGTTCCATGGCGCGGTTCGATGAATGTTTAATCAAGCCTCATATGGGGGCAGGAATTGACAGCGAGTTTTTGACTTTTCAAAAAAAAAAAAAATAATCGAGTACATTTTTCTACCTTTCCGACTACCTATCATCGCGCGCGCGCGCGCGGACCGTACGCTCGGCGGCCTCCGCCAATGTACATTTCATGACCGCACGAATTAATATTGCCACGGCGATGAATAGTTTAAGCCGTACGTCCATACATTGTTCTAGCTGATATTAAACCGACCGGAAGCGCGTGGCGGTGCATTAACGGAACATTTAAAATCACGTTACTATTAATAACATTTTAAATAATTACGCGCGTCCGTGTGTCGTCGCGCATCCGGTATGCAATCAACGAACGGAATCGATTATCGCTGTCAGTTTTCGGATGGTAACGGTCAGCGCGAGTCGAATCGGCGAATAAATAATTGCGGCCTTATCGATATATCGTTGTCAGTTGTCCCGGTATCGTCCGCGCGCGTGCCCAGTTTAATATCTTCTATTTCTTTTTCCGACGCGTCGGTTTCCGCTCGCCATCGAAATCTCTCGATTTTGTTATCTTTCGGTATTATTTTCAGCATTGTTTAATGTATAATGACGGTTGCGGTTCGTGAATACATATTTTATATTTCGATAATATTTTACAATCAGCATATTCTCTTCCACATCAAAGATAAGCATCTCGCGTTAAATTTACATGATGGAATCGAGACGTATGTAACATAAAATTATATACAATGACGGACATATACTCACGTACAGTTAGGAAAATCAAATTTTATTCGTTGTGTACTTATACATGAAATAGTTAAACAAAAGTCCATTATGTTTTTTACAAGTTTATAGCATATATTATGAGATGGCAAAACAGTGTTTATCAATTTACTGTAACTAAGAAGTTTCTTGTGTCTCTCACACGAGTGACTGTGCGTATATATACATGTATATATTATATTATATATATTATTGGCTGTATAGTCCATTGGACGAAAGCTATTATTCACATTTTATGTACAACTTAATAAAACGTGTTAATTGCAGACAATAACAGCGTGGTCTATGCGGCCTGTACTCAGTAACTGTAAAAGCTGAAAGGCAGAAATTTCATTGGAACGAAAGCGCTCTGAAATCAATCTGATCTTTCTGGTCTCCGTAGAGTTAAATAATCTGTAGATATTTATCGGAAACTAACGGTACAGACAAGAGGAGGATAAATTGCGAGAGCGTTTCGAGAGAGATTTTATACTGCCGTAAAATTAAATCTCTCCCCGTCGAATTCCGGGCGGATTAATACACGAGTGACTGTGCGAAGAATTTCCATGGTTAATCCGACCGATTATTACGTCGAGTCCTGCATCGGCACGAAATCATTGCTGCCCGCTAATGCCGCACATTCCAAATTCCGCTGATTGTACGTACAGAGAGAAAGATAGGTAGATAGATAGAGTGTGCAGAGAGGGTGCAGGTGGCTGAAGACATCAG